ATGGACGACACGGCCGCTTACTGGATGCTCGTGAAGCTCGGTTTCCTCCAGGACCTCCACAACACGGAATGCGCAGGCTGCCAGTGGCCCTTGGGTAAGACGTACTTCCGCGGCAAACGTCACCCTGGGGTGCAGTGCTACAGGCGCGGTTGCCGCGAGTTTAACAGGGCAACATCTGGGACTTGGGCAGACCACGAGATCCCAATGAAGAAGCTCGCCGCCTTGGCGTGGCTCGCAAGCGGGCAATTGACATGCCAGATACATCAGGATGACGCAGCGCAGCTGACAGGAGTGGCGAACAGGACTTGCAAGGAGGTCTTGGACGCCTTGCGCGACGTCATTGCTATCGGCAGTAAGATGGAGCAGCGCGATGTCGTGTTCTCTGGGCAATGCGAGGTCTCCTCCCACATAACTTTTCCCCTTCATCCGAACCACCCCCCTTCCTCCTACTCCTCCGAGGTGGATGCTACGACTCTGCGCGCCGTGACGCTCAACAATGGCCGGCTGCTCCATGTCCGCTACTTCGGCATGTCCCGCCGCGGAGATCGAAAGTCCACGGTGATCTACCCGCTCCCTTTGTACACCACGCCGAAAGGGGGGAAGACCAGGCCCGAGAGCATCGCCGAGACGGAGGACCTCATGATCAACCACACTGCCGGCGACAACGCGGTCATCTGGCACTCTGATGGTGCCCGGTGTTACAGGAGGCTGCCGCTCAACACCAGGGTCAAGCATTGCCGTAAGCAGTGGGTGAAGATCTGCAAGTTGGCCCTCTCCGATGGCAGCGTGCTCGCGTGCTACGGGGGCACGGAGCTCCAGGATGGTTTGTGGAAGCACCTCAAGCACAGGATCCCGACGCAGCTCCGCACGATCGACAGCCTCTCCACTGGGACGTTGGAGAAATGGGCTCACGAGTGGGCTTGGAGGTACCGCCGCGGGGACCAGGCGTGCCTCTTCAGTGAGCTCGGGCTGACGGTAATGCACGCCAGGATGAACGGGGATGTGTGGTGAACCTGGTGTACTACATGCTGGAGCGTCGGGCTGCCCCTGGGGCGCCCCCCCCGAGCGCGCCACTCTGAGGTCGGAACAGAGTCAGCGAGGCCGTTTAGTTTCCCCCCCATTGCTCCTTCTCACACTCCACCTGCCCACGAGCTCTCACTCACCGCCCCGCCGCTGCACACCCGCCACCCCGAAGTGTGTGTTTGTTTCCAGTCATCGGCGATGTACACTACCACCGTCACCGACGCGCCGTGCTTCGTGGTAATTCGCGGGCCCTGGAGAAAAAACAATTAGCGCATCTTTGCTTCAGCCAGGCGGCCACCGCGCCGCGCTGCCAGCAGCGGTCTCTCTTGCCATGTTTGCAGGCACAATCGAACTCAGCGAGGCCACCTTGAAAATCAAGAAAGATTACATCGTCATTATCAATCAGGGATGGTCGCTCAGCCCCCCCGCCATCGCAAGGGCGCCCTTGTCGTACCTGCGTCTGTTGCCCCCATGTAAGATCGGTGGGCAACGGATTCCCCTGTCGTTCCAAAAAAACGCCCAAGAGCACTACCCAGAGGAATCCGTCGGCACAATCATCGGGTTGGGAGGATGGGGCTCGGAAGATACAGAGCACGACTGTGCAACAAGCACACTCGACATACGCGATGGTACGCATGCTCTGGTCATCTCTCCCGGCCCCCTCCTCCCAACCCGGGAGCTGTCTTTCTGAGACGCGGGCCGGGGAGCTCGGCCCACGGGCCGTCCAGAGGGCCAGGGGGGGGGGACCCGAGGACGGCGGGGGAGCGTCTGGCGCGCCCCCCTCCCCCCCCCCCCCTCTTGCGCTGTATGCGGCCCCGTGCCTGCCTGGGGGCCCGGGGAGCACGTCGAGGGGCGTGCGAGGCGCGCGACCCCCCCCCCTGCTGTTCCATCCTGCGCCCGCTGGGGCACGGCCTCCGCGCCGAGGAAGGGGGGGGCGCGGCGGCCCCCCCTCCCGCCTTCCCCCCCCCTGCTGTGCGACATCGGCCCCGACGCTGTGCTCGAAGCAACGCTGCGGGGGGGGAGGGGGGGGGGAACGAGGTCCACGTGAGGGGGGGCGATCTTCTTGATCGCATGCCTCCATTACTCCAAAATCCTCGCGTCGTGCACGAATGCAACAGGGAATGTTTTGACAACACGACGGCCGTGCTCGTCCTGGAAGGCCCTTGTTCCCACGGCTGCACTCCCTCGAAAATTCTGATCAGAATGCACCCCAGGAGAGGTCCGGGAGTCGCGGTATCGGTACTTTTGTGTCAACGCCTCGAGTCGTGCAACAAATCACGACGCAAATTGTTTGCCTGGCCCGAGGCCGCCAGAAAACGACTCAGGACAAGAAGCCGGAGCCCGGGAAGAGGTCCAGACCTCTGGGGAGCCATGGTCAGAACAAATCACGACGTGACCCTGGCGTCGAGTCGATGTCGGATCGGATAGGATAGATCTGAATATCGAATCGGCAGGCAACGGCTTAGAATGGATCGACCGAAACCCGCAGGGCTGACGCCAGGTCGGCGGGATGATGCAGAGGGGATCGCCAACTCCTCCAGGAAGCTTAAGCCACCCTGGGCCCCCAGAGGCGCCCAGAAGCGTCCAGAGCCTCCTCGATCCCCGAGGTCTGGGCGTCGCAGATGTTTCACGCCGGGTGTCGTCGGCCATTCTCGGGCCATCGGCGCCCTCCGCAGATCGATCCGCCCAGAGACGTGCAGCAGAGGGATGGGGTCGATGCGGGAGCATGGAACACCGACACCAACACGCCCAGGGACCCCCAGGGGTAGGAGCCAGGGAGGGGTCCCCCTGGTGGTGTGGTGTCCCCCCTCTCGCTCGAGACATCCCCTGTCTCCAGCTCGGAGACTCAATCGTGGAGAGCTCCTCGCTGGAGGTGGCCCCCTGGTGTTTGTGTCGCTTCTCCTTCCCCCCACTATGGCTCTGGCCGTGATGTTCGATGGCGACGTTACGTCTTTCTCGGGACGTCGGACGTCGGATCTCAGGGAAACACCAAGGCTTCCAAGGGATGAGGTTTTTGTTGGGGGGGGGCTCCTTGTCACCATGGAGAGATTCCCCGCGGAATCCTCGCTCGGCCGACTCTTGATGGGGGACCGTTTATACGGGGCCCTCGCGAAACCAGTTCGGGACGAAACGCCAGCCCGCGGGGACGATCCCGAACCCTGGGGGCCCTGGGAGCAGGTGCCGTGAACCATCAATTATCTGCGGCAATCCTAGCGCTTTTCCCCAATTCTGTAGGGGCCTCCTAGATGGGGTCCGAGTAGATGGGGTCGGAGGATCGAGCCGCATCGCCGATACATCGCCGATGCATCGGCGATGCAACGCCGACGATTCACCGGGAACGTCGGCGATGCACCCGCGACGTCGGCGTGGAGAAGTTTGGGCTCCACATCCAGCCGCATCGGCGATGCATCGGCAGTGCGGCGCGATCCTCCGACCCCATCTACTTCGACCCCATCTGGGAGGCCTGGATTCTGACGACCCGGCCCTGGACCATCAGAGCAGTGGGCCCAAAAGATGCCACACTGCCCCCCCAGGGGGATTCTGCTGGCGCCGGCCTTTTGCATCCATAGATCAGGCTCGCGCCTGCCAAGGCCACCTGGGGCCGCCCGCGGGCCGAACGGGAGCTCCTCCAGAGGCCTCCGAGGGGGAGCCGGAGAAGTCCGATCGGGAGGCTCCGGGGACGAGGCCAGAGCGGTGGAAACGCTCGATGTTGTCTGGGTGCCCCTGGTGCGCTGGGGCCCCGGGGGGTCCGCGGCCGTGTTGAACGCTTGTGGAGGAATTCCATAGTGGCCTCGCAACTCGCGCGCGCGCTCCCGCCTGATGAGATCTGCTTTGTCCACAACAGAAGAATCGCCGTGGTGGGACGTCTGGTAACTGCAGCGAGTCCTTACTGGTGACCGACTGGTAGCTGAAGCGAGCCCTTCCTGGTGGCCCGGTAACTAAAGCGAGCCCTTACTGACCGCGGGCTGGGACAAAGAAACACAGCTCCGACCCCGGCGTTGGTTTCTGACACCGCGTGGATCGTTCAACCTTGAACGATCGGTGGCTCTTCGATCGCCCAATCGTTTCATGTTGGTCGATTCTGGGCCACTGGCGGCGTTCAACCTTGAACGCCCGCGGCGGGGTCGACGAAGGTCGACACGACGCGAACCTAATTACCGTAGAGCTGTGCGCCTGCGCCCCGGCCAGGCCCATCCATGGGTTGGGTCCAGCGGAGTGAGTCACCGCGGGGACCTGAGCGAGACCTCGCCGTCCCTGGGGAGGGCTGCGATCTGCGACACTGTCGCCACTTTCGAGGGCTGCTGGTGGGTCCTGCGGACGGAGGCACCGCGGGGACCTGAGCGAGACCTCGCCGTCCCTGGGGAGGGCTGCGATCTGCGACACTGTCGCCACCTTCGAGGGCCACGAAGGAGAGATGGCTCATGGTGGAATCGGGCCCACAGGGGGGGGGGCTCTCCCCAGGGGGCCGACTTCTCATCCCGAGCCGTCTCCTCGCAGCCACGGGCCCCGCGAGCGGGCCCTCGAACCACAGCGTGGACCAGGATCCGCTGCTCCCCGGCGCCCTCGTCTTCCTGCCTAATGCATCGGTCCTACGATGCGTTTCTCAATCCGCCGCCGCAGACACTGCCCAGGGTCAATCAACGTTTCGCCTCGAGCCAACTCGTTGGGTGTCGCGGGGTCCAGAGACAGCAGGCGCCGAAATGATGGAATCACATCTGGCTGGCAACAAACATTCTTCGGATACGCGTGCCCCAGACGTCCGCTACTTCGGTTCCTTTGATCGATCGATCTCGTTTCCAAGGCTGTTTTCCTGGCCCCAGATCTTCGACGGTCCCGAATCGAAGACTTGGCCTCCAGAGGCCAACGATGACGACTAACTGGCCGCCGCGACTTTTCCGAGCAGGTCCTGGGCCCTAGGTGGGCCCAGGCAAGGGTCCATCGATGCTGGTGCGAAGGTTGGCGTCCCCCGGGATGGCCGTTGTGCTGGGCCAGCTTGGAAGCCAACGAGGAGGACGCCACGGAGACCTGGCCGGCCGCGAAAGGGCAGTGAGGATCGAAATTCCCAAATTGCGGAAGCATCTTGCCTAACATCCTCCTGCGTGGGGTTCTCGTTTGGCATGCAGCAGTGCGGTCGCACACCTTTTCCTCCCCACCCTGATTTTTCTTGCCTCACTGTCATCCTGCCTGCCATCCTGCCTTCTGTCCTGCGTACCATCCTGCCTCCTACGTCGTCGTCATGCATGACCTCGCCATCCCTGGGGGGGCTGCGATCTGCGAAACCCTCGCCAGTTTCGAGGGCTGCTGGGGGGTCCAGCGGACTGACGTCTGACGCGGATCTGAATGAAGCATCGCTATCCCTGGGGTGGCTGCGACTTGCAAGCTGTCGCCAACTTCGGGGCTGCTGCGGGGTCCAGTGGAGCAACGTCTTATGCGGACCTGAGTTAACCCTCGCCATACGAGGTGGCTGCGATCTGCGAAAAAGGTTGCAACTTTCGAGGGCTTCTGGGGGGTCCAACAAAACGACATCTTACGCGGACATAATAATAATTTAAACCTCGCCATCCCTGGAGGGGCTTCGATCTGCGGAACAATCGCGAATTCGAAAGGCTGCTGGGAGGTCCAGTAGAATGACGTCTTACGCGGGGGCTGCGATCTGCGAGCCCATCGTCAGTTTCGAGGGCTGCAGGGGGGTCCAACGGAGTGACGTCATACGCAAAACCAAGCTAGACCCCGCGATCCTTGGGAGGGGTGCGATCTGCAAAACGATGGCCACTTACCGGGGCTGCTGGGGTCCAACGGAGTGAGGTCTTACGCGACCTCAATAAAACCTCGCCATCCGTGGGGGGATGCGATCTGCAAATCTGTCGCCACGATCGAGGGCTGCTGTGGGGGCCCAGCGGAGTGACATCATACGCAGACCTACGACCTACGTTAGACCTCGCCGTCCCACGGGGGCTGCGATCTGCGAAGCCGCCGCCAGTTCCCACGGCTGCTGGGAGGTCCACCGGAATGGCTTCATGCGCGGACCTAAGCGCTAAACCACGCGATCTGGGGGGGGGGGCTGCGATCTGCGAAGCTGCCGTCTCCCCAGACCCCCGACGTAATGATTTTTTCATTACGTCGACCCCCAGAGGTCCCGACCCTTTCCCCATGACCGGCTTTGCATCCTGAGTCGTTTTTTGACGCTCCCGAGGCCCGGCGAGGGTCGCCGGAGACCGAAAATTAGGAAAAACCTCCCGTCATGATTTTTTCATTACTCGAGGGGGTCTGGGTCTTCCGAGGGCCTCTTGGGGGGGTCCGGCGGCATGACGCCCCGTGGGCCCCTGGAGGCCCGGCGGCTCGCCTGCCGGCGTGGAGCTCCCGCGCTGTGCGCGGTGCAGGAAGGACACGGCGAACCCGGCGGGCGAGGCCGGCCTCGACGGCTCTTGGGGCACTCGCCACAAACAACCTCCTCCTCCTCCTCCTCCTCCTCCTCCTCCTCCTCCTCCTCCTCCTCTCCTCCTCCTCCTCCTCCTCCTCCGCCTCCTCCTCCCTCCTCCTCCTCCTCCCCTCCTCCTCCTCCTCCTCCTCCTCCTCCTCCTCCCCTCCTCCTCCGCCTACTCCTCCTCCTCCGCCTCCTCCTCCCTCCTCCTCCTCCTCCTCCTCCTCCTCCTCCTCCTCCTCCTCCTAGCCTCTGGAGCGCCCGGGCGACACTGCGCGGGCCGCACTGCCTGCGCGCCACTGGAGGATGATCACCACCCCCTTTCCTCACCCCGCTTCTGCTTGTCGTCCTCTTCTTTGCTGGAGAGGGCCGCCCACCCTCCACCATGATCCCAGACCGCGGCGCCACGGTAGGGGGTCAAGGCCTCTCGGGCCATGCGGGGCAACTCATACTCATCGATACGGCCACTCAAATCGATGTGGCAGCTCGCGGCCCCATCGATCTCTCAGACGACCAATCTGGGGGGTCATCGAGAAACCTCGGCTCAGGCGAACTAGCCGCCGTCGCCCCGGAGGCAGCTCCAACCACAGCACAGAAAAAAGTGGAAGGAGAAGGCGAGCAGGAGGAGGGTGGGATGAGTGGAGCAAGGGAGGGACGTCAGCGGGGGAGGAGGAGTCCCGAGGATGAACCGGGAGCCCCCCAAATCCGGGGCCAGTTGCCGGGTTGGAAGCAAAAACGAGGTCCTGAGTCATCGCTCCACCGGAGCACTTGCGCAGATCCGACGGGGCCCCGAAGCCATGGGCGAACTGGCGGAGGGCCCCGAGGGGGCCGAGGGCCCCAGGGGCCCCAGGGGCCCCGAGGGGCCCCAGGAAGACACAGGGGGACAGGGCGGAGGGCCGGGAGACGGAGTCAGTAGGAATTGGCCAGGAGGAGGAGGGGGAAGATGGACGGTGTGGAGCGTCACGCAGGGCGGCGGTGAACTTCGGGGGTGGATGGCACAGGAGCGGAGGCGGAGGCTGCCAGATACCAGCATAGGGACCCCCCCCCCTGTACATTGTTTTTTTTGGGGGGGGGCGGTCCCAGCTCCTGGTCGTGGGTGGGCTGTCCTGGCAAGATTCTTTCTTCGCTGGTTCACTGCAGCTGTCGCCTTAACTGTTCGGCCCCTCTTCTGTTTTGTTCCTGCCCTTCGTTCTCACCACCATTTCCTCTTCGCGCCTGGGGCCTCAGTCCTCCTCTTGCTGTCCTGTGAGTCGTGCGACGCGCGTGCTTCCCATATAGCATCGGACGAACGATTCTGGACCAGTTCCTCTTGTCACTTAGTGCAGATGGGTTGGGCACGTCGAAGGGCAATCTTTCACTCCGGGAGCTTTTCCTCGACTTCGGCGTCCAACCTTCGTCATCGGGCCCAGGGGCGCAAAAATGGACCCGGGACGCAAGCACACCCCCGAGAAAAGGATCGGGAACCGTGGGGTCGCGGACCGAAGAATCGGATCGGAATGTGTCAAGCATCGGATTTCGGGGCCCAGCGTCTCCGAAAGACTGGTTGCTCCTTCCCTCCAGCTGTCTCTTCGGTTTCTGCCTCTGGGGCCCTCATCCAGGACCTCGGGACACGGGCCTGGGCGAAAAGCTGCCCCCCCCCAGGCAGGGGTTTGATGTCTCTGCCGGATGTCTGCCTCTTTGTCAGCGGCGGTCTGTGTTCGCCACAGCTCGCTGCAGGCGCTGCGATCTCCAGGCTGGCAGGCCGACTCTCGCGCGCGTGGTCTCCCTGATGGGGCCCCGCCTGCCGCGCGAGCTGGCCCTCCGCTCGGGACTTGACCTCGACGCGCCCAGCCTGAGCCGCCTGCATCCGGCGCCGTGACAACAGCCGTGGGCATGGGATCCAAGGGCCACGGGGTGAGGGGCAAGAGAGCGAGGCCGACACGGCGCTGCAGTGCGGGCGCGACCGCAAGAGACCCTCGCAAGAAACCCAACCCTGGAAACCCGCGCGCGAGGCGCATCTGAGGGGGCACCCGGAGCACTCCGAGCGCAGCAGCTCCCTCAACGGCTGCGGGCAGTCACCGCGCAGCGCGCGGAGTGAAGCAAACCAGGACACCCTGACGAAAAGCGCTTGGCTTCTTGATGCGCGCCCCCACTGTAGACCCTGCCGGAGGAGGAGGGGGAGGAGGAGGAGGAGGAGGAGGAGGAGGAGGAGGAGGAGGAGGAGGAGGAGGAGGAGGGAGGAGGAGGAGGAGGAGGAGGAGGAGGAGGAGGAGGAGGAGGAGGAGGAAGAGCAGGAGGAGGAGGAGGAGGAGGAGGAGGAGGAGGAGGAGGAGAGGAGGAGGAGGAGGAGGAGGAGGGGGAGGAGGAGGGGGAGGAGGAGGAGGAGGAGGAGGAGGAGGGAGGAGGAGGAGAAGAGGAGGAGGCGGAGGAGAAGGAGGAGGGGGAGGTGGCGGAGGAGGGAGGGAGGGACAGAGGGAGGGAGGGGGGGAGGGAGGGAGGGAGGAGGGAGGAGGGAGGAGGGAGGAGAAGGAGGATAGACCCTACCGGATGTCTAGGGGTCGATCGTCCTTGGGCGCTCCGGCGCGCCTGCGAGGGCCCCGCCCCGCCGGGCTGGCACCCGGCGAGGCCTCGGCACGCCGCCCCCCGGCGCGCGCGGCGCCCACGCAGTGCCCCCGGGCGGGGGCCGGGCGTCGCGAGGAGGGGGAGGGGGGGAGGAGGGGGAGGGGGAGGGGGAGGAGGGGGAGGGGGGGGGGAGGGGAGGAGGGGAGGAGGGGGAGGAGGGGGAGGGGGAGGAGGAGGGGGAGGAGGGCAAGCTAGGTGCGCTCGCGTCATATCTGACGTCCTACCCCTCCCTCCCATCCCTTACCATGGCGCTGATTTTCTCTATCCGCGGACGCGTGTCGTAGCGGACCTGTGGCTCCGCGCGCGCGTGCGTAGTGGGTGGTGGTGCGCGTGCGTGCGTGCGTGCGTGCGTGTGTGCGTGGTGGTGTGGTGGTGGTGGTGGTGGTGGTGGTGGTGGTGGTGGTGGTGGTGGTGGTGGTGGTGGTGGTGGTGTGGTGGTGGTGGTGGTGGTGTGGTGGTGTGGTGGTGGTGGTGCTGGTGGTGGTTGTGGTGGTGCGGCGCGGTGGTGGCGGGCGGATGGGCGCGCGAGAAAGAGGCCCGCGCTGGGGCGAGAACGCCATCCTGAACGACGGAGGCCAAACACCGATCCGAAAATGAGGCCCACGCTGCAGCGGGAGCACGATTCGGAACGATTCGGGAGCAGAAATTGAAGCCGGCGCCTCAGCGAGAGCAGCATTTTGAAAAAAAAAAAAAAAAAAAAAAAAAAAAAAAAAACACAAGCGAAAACCCGTTTCCCGGGAATCCTGTGTGTAAACAAACAATACGCGGGGGGGTGTCGGATATCTTCGGGGCGCCATCAGGGGAAGTGGGAGAGTACTTTCATACTGTGTAAGTGTGAAGGGGGAGGGGGAGGAGGAGGGGGAGGGGGAGGAGGAGGGGCGAACGAGGTCGAGCTGGGCAGCGGGGAAGCGTCCCATACGCTGCGGCGGTGCCCCCCTTCCTCCCAGCAGTCCGGGCGGGCCGCGCGCCGTGCCAGGGGAAGCCTCGCGGCGCACTGGGGCCC